ATTTCTCTTTCCAGGGGACATTTGGCAATGGCTGAAGACATTTTTGGTTGTTATAGCTGGGGGGTGAGGGTGTGTGTGAGTGCTACTGGCATCTAGCGGGTAGAGAACAGGCATGGTCCTAAACATCCTTCAACGTACAGGACAGCCCTCCCCCCCGCAAAAAATAATTTTCCAGCCCCCAATCCCAATAGTGCTGAGGTTGAGAAACCCTGTGTATCAAGTTCTACAAGTTAACATCTACTCTTATGAAATTTAAAATATCCTAATCAAGAGAAAATAGCAAGTCAAACAAAGATACACACTCCCAGAGAACTGGCTAAGGTGGGTTGGCTAGAAAATGCTTAGATAACTCTGAAAGGACATGCAGTAGCCCTTTTGCCTATTTCCCAGTTTTGGAAAGTTTTCTTGACAATACTTGACACCATACCTGAAACATGGTAGGTGTTCAGTAAAGGTTAGTTATTTCTATAAATTTATAGGCCACTAGATAGAAGTCCAAATGCCCATACAGTAAAATAAATACCATACTTTTACAGAAGCATCATCATTGTTGGAAATCTTTTCCCTGTTGGATTTTTTCATCATGGTCACTTTGAAGTTTTAAGAAAGTCCTCCAATATAACCTTCAGACTTACAGATGATAGATCTATTAAAAAAGACAAGTCATGTTTAAAAACTTTCCTGAAAGCCTCATTCAAAACACTAAGCCCCTCCTCCTGCATGAAAAACTTATTGTCAAATTGAGACTATCCAAGATATCCTTAGGAAATCCATTTAAAGTCTGCTATAGAAAGGATAGTAAGGTAAAGATCATAGAATTGCAGATCGTGGCCCTTTTTATTGGCCAAAATGTGTATGTGTGTTTTTTGGGGTTTTTTTGACATTTTAAAAATTGAAGCATAATTGACATACAATAGTATATTAGATTCAGGTGTACAACATAGTGATTCAATATCTATATACATTACAAAATGGCAACCACAATAAACCTAGTTACCGTCTGTCACCATACAAATTCATTACAATATTATTGACTGTGTTCCTTATGCCATACATTACAAAGGTAAAAAAAGAAAAAAAAGCAGCCACGCAATTTCCCAAGTTTGTCTTGTATAAATCAGTTGAAAAGTATATCCAGTGGTTGTATCTATCAGTCTGAGTCCAAAGGAAGAGGTTTTATTCCCCCCCCACCCCTTCCCCCCTTATTAATGACAGCCAGATCTTGTTGGAGAAGGCACTGCCATGGCTCACTGAGTGTCAAGGAAGCAGCTGTGGTGAAATGCTGGCAAAACTTGCTGGAAATATATCCCCTGGAATTTTGGGGAAATCCACCCTCTAGGCTGCCATGGAAAAGCTGTTCCCCAGCAGATGTCTCACCAGAGACACTCTGCTGCATTGCCAACCCACAGGAACCTAAAAGCAAAATCCATTTCCTGCAACGGCTCTCCAGTGCCCTCTATTGACAATGCTTAACATTGTTCCACTCCGCAAAGGAAAACTATTTAGAAGGCCCAGATTCATTTTCACAGAAAAAGCAAAAAGGCAGGATTTGGAGCTAAGAGTGAATAAAATCAATAACTGATGCAAGAGTTATTCTGTAATATTTTTAGGATCTGACAACACTGATAATTTCAGTCTGGTAGTGTCTGAATAACAGCCAGTTTGGGCCCTCCTGGGCCTGCAAGGTGCTTATTTGCCCACTATAGAGCAGCAATTCCTCCTGGGCCCTGAGTAGGCAATATCGACATCACCTGGGACCTTGTTAGAAATGCAGATTCTAGCACCCTACCCCAAATTAACTGAACCAGAAACTCTGGGATTGGGGACCAGCAATCTCTGTTTTAATAAGCCCTGCAAAGGATTCTGGTGCATGCTAAGGTTTGAGAACCACTGTTATAACAGTAAGTTCTAGGAACTTGCTGTGCAGGCACAAAGAGGAGAGTCAATAAGGATTTATCTGTATGAGTTTTAGTCTCAATTTATTTATTTATTTATTTATTTATTTATTTATTTATTTGGCTGCTTTGGGTCTTTGTTGCTGTGCGGGCTTTCTCTAGTTGCAGCGAGGGGGGGCTACTTGTTGCGGTGCACGGGCTTCTCATTGCAGTGGCTTCTCTTTGCTGTGGAGCATAGGCTCTAGGCACGCGGGCTTCAGTAGCTGTGGCACATGAGCTTAGTTGCTCCGCGGCATGTGGGATCTTCCTGGACCACGGCTTGAACCCGTGTCCCCTGCACTGGCAGGCAGATTCTTAACCACTGTGCCACCAGGGACGTCCTTAGTCTCAATTTTTAATCTTGAAGAAGACAACCTAACTTCTCTGGGATCTGGAAGCTAGCACGGAAAATAATATTTTAATCTCTACTTTTACATTGATGATGTGTTTCTGGACTCGTGGGCATGATTGCATCAGCTATGTTCACTTTGGTAAGAAATTCTGTTTTTGATGTTCTCTTATCTGCAGGTCATGCTACCTTGATGCAGGCCCCAAAGCTGCTATTGCAATTTTCATCTGTTTCTGTGAGTACACAGAAGCGGAGAGTAATGCCCATTCTACATTTTCCATACCCTTGCTTTTCCCTAGGTCTCCACCATGACTGCAGTTACTGGAAGAAGAGCTAGAGCCACAAACCTAAGGCCAGCATAGCAGACAGTGGCATGGAGCTCACATTAGCTCACCACTGCTCCTTGCCCCTCAGATAACTCATGAGTTGGCTTGCCTCCTTGACAAAGCTCCAACAGCCCAGAACAGAAAGCTTCATTTTCCCGACATAGGCTTTGCCTTTCCAATTTGCTCCCTTTGAAGGAAAGATGGTGAGATGCATGCTAGCAAGATATTTTTCTGCCGTTTTTCGCTTTAAAATGAAAAATATGTGTGTGCGTGTTCATGTGGTGTAGGGATTATGTCCTGTCCCTGGTCCTGCCAATAACTAGCTGCATGGGGTTGGGCAGGTCACCAACTCTGGCTCTAATTTCTACACATAAATATAGAACATTAGACAAGTTGATACTGCTCCAACATTTTATGATTCTATGCACTACCACAAGCGTATCCTTAAAAGGTAACTTGGTGGGCTTGAATCTCACCCTTTACTGTAACAGTCTGTGTATGAGGCCCTCTTCTAAATTTCCTCCTCTGGGTTTAACATTAAGCACAATGAAACCTTCCTACAGCAAATTCATCCTAAAGGGATTGAGGTTATTTATACATAGAAGGTGAAGTCTTCAGCAGATTTGCTCCTTTTCAATAAATAAAGAGCATGTGTCTTTCTAAACAGATATCTATCCCATTAACTGCTTTGATAAGAGTAACTAAATATGAAAGCATACACTGGAAATGAAGCACTAGTATTCTTTATTTCAAATTCCTGATTTACTTCTCACTCATAGTAGTAAGCAAAAATGTTTACTTCTTCCCCGTTTGAACGTTTACTTTTTTTTTTTTTTTTCAGTACGCAGGCCTCTCACTGTTGTGGCCTCTCCCGTTGCGGAGCACAGGCTCCAGACGCGCAGGCTCAGCGGCCATGGCTCACGGACCCAGCCGCTCCACGGCATGTGGGATCTTCCTGGACCAGGGCACGCATGAACCAGTGTCCCCTGAAGCGGCAGGCGGACTCTCAACCACTGTACCACCAGGGAAGCCCTGAACGTTTACATTTTTAATGTTTGTTAAAGTGTTTTTTTTTTCCTCAAGATAAAGAGTCTTTCTCTGACCTGTTTTCACATGCTGAAATGGGGGGAAATGACTGTCAAGTATGATGCTTCTCAATCAACAATTGCCCTCTGTGGGGGATGGTATTTCAGAAATTCTTGGAAAAAATAAAGTTTGAAAAGTCATATCTAGACTTTTACACTAAAAAAAAAAAATCCTCTTGTTTTGATAACACAAATTACATCTATCTAAGCTTGCTAAAGTCAGAGCCAGGGAGGATAAGCAGAGAAAAGGTTGTGCTAATACTTGGTGTTGCTTACCTATTTTCTCCTCCTTCCTCAGTAAAAGCTTTTTCTTTCCCGTGGCAACATCCCCAGACAATGAAACACAATGAGCTCAAACCTCTCAGAACGCCTCTTCCCAGCCTCTCTTTCAGTGAGAAGTGGCCATGGAGGCAGTTCTGGCTGTTGGGGTCACTGCTGGGTGACTCTGGGAGGCCTGCGGCTGGCTGTGCGTCCTCTGCCCAGCTTCCTGCCTTTATAATTGACACTGTGCGGGGAGCTTCTGCTGCCTTCCTGTGACCTCCTGGGGTAGCTCCGAAGGCAAGGATGAAAGACCCTGGCTTTTCCATAACACTTTCAAGTTGCTAAATTTCAGAAAAACAGGTCTTCAATATGTAATATTTGGGACTTACCCTAAAAAGTTATTTATAGTTTATCTGAAATTCAAATTTAACTGTATGCCCTCTAATTTTCTTTTTTGTTTTTTTTCCCCCTAAATCTGACAACGCTAACCCTAACCCTAACTCTAACTCTAATCCATAATTCTTGGTTATGTAAAAATAATAAACCCCAATAAGCTACTATTAGTCAAGTAACACGTTGCTTGCATGTGAACTCATTCCTGACATAGTAGTAATTTATAACAAGTACCCAACATTTATTGTGTTCATTATGTGCCAGGCACTATGCTAGTTAGCAGGGGTGTGTTTGTAATTAAGTCACAGAGGTAGGTCCTGCCTTCAAGCAGCTTGCAGTCTAGCTGGAGAGACAGCCACTAAATGAGTGATTCTGTAAGCAGCAGTATAACTACAATTGTGATTAACGCTTTGAAGGAAAAGTAGAACTTTGAGAGCACCTATGAGGGCGGGGCAAGGAGGAGGGAATCCTCTGAGAAGCAGCATCTTCTGAAGGAGGAGTTGTTAGCAGACTAATTGGAGGGAAGGGTTGCAGAAGTTTGCTCTAAGTATCGGGAGCAGCACATGAGCCCGCTGTGAAGCAGGAAGGGTCCTGGTAAGTTTGAGGAGAGGAGGTCCCAATGGCTGAACAGCAGTGGGTTGAGTGACTGGAAATGAGGGTAGAGAGGCACTCATAAGCTAGATCAGGGAATGTCTTGGGGGCCATATGAAGGATTGTGAACTTTATCCTTACTCTCCACTAAACCCACACTAAGCACTGTTGATATCCCCTTCTTATAAAGAGGAAGTATAGACTTTAAATGGTTTGATCAAAGACATATAGCTATTAAAAGGATGAACTTAATTTGAGCCCAGATTTTTTTTTTTTTTTCAGTGTGTGTGACCAAAAAACCCCCTAGTCATTGGTGAGTGTAAGCTAGTTACAAATTTCTAAGTTCTGAGTGCTGATCAGATGAGTCTGTAGAGAATGTTTAAAGTTAATGTAAGAATATATTTTATATTTGTAAGGACTGAGAGGGTGTGAGCAATCTATTATTAATAAATAACAAGTTGATCACTAATTTAACTTCCAGCATTGAATAAGGCCTCAAAAAAATGATACGATTATACAGATCTCCTGTTGTGTTTTTCAATGAAAGCTCCCCTGTATTACATATCACTGAAGTAACTGTAACTTATTTCTGCTATTTTAGACCAATGGTTTGACAAAAACAAAATAAAACATGCACATAAAAACCTTATTTGTAACAAAGTCTCAACATAAGTGACACAAATGATTCAGTGGTTTCAGACACATATAAAAAACAGTAACAGCGGCAACAAGGACAAAACACAAAAAAGATACTGTTGGCAAATTGTTGATTTATTCAATATGATTACCAATATGACTACTCCTGGTAATCCCTTTATTTGCAGGAGGTGGGCATTGGTATGGGATGGTAACCAATATTTTTAAAAAATTAAAAATAGAGAAATATCAAGAGTACATTGTATGTGAGGTAAATATTTTATAATTCTTGATATGATACATGCAACACATATAGATACATACACACAAACACACACATCAATAGATTACATATATACTGGATTGTGATCTATATCTTATTCCTTACTCCGGGTCCCATTCAGAAGAGTTTGACAATCACTGGTCTAGAGAAACTGACTCACTCTTTGTGAGCTATGCTGTGTCTTGTACTTCCTGGAGTGAGAACAAAGTTAAAGTAAATTCCTGTCCATTGTCATGGATAACTACTTACTTTTCCATGTGTTAAGGAAATCATGTGTGATAGAACAAACAGAGAAGCAAATAAACGAAACAACAGGCTGTCATCATACCGAAGTACACATTGTATCTTGGTTAAGGTTCTTGCATAGCTTCCTTTGAATTTCCTAATTCACTCCAGGAAGGATTCAGTGCATTCCAACTCTACGCTGTCACTTGCAGACCTGGGGAATAATTATAAATAGAAAAGAAATTAATGGAGAATTCCAATTGTCATTTTATTAAATCTTCACACTAACATCTAAGGATGTTAAGATTACAGGGATTGTGGGGCAAGAAATGCTGGTTTTCTGTAAAGAACTAAATAGAGTCCAAGTCTCATTCATTTAATCCTCGTGTTAAATTTAAGCCTATTTTCAGCTATCAGATATCCAATCTCATCTGCAATTGATAAAATAATCCTTGACTTCAAAGAATGAAATAATCTGAGAACTAGAAGAAAAACACAAAAGGTGGCTGGTACAGTAGAATTCTTGTTTTGGAATGTTATCCTTGGTTTGAGGAAAGAAGTATTCTTACCTTCAATCTTTAGTTTTTTAATATTTTTTATTTATGTAAAGTAAGGAAGCCTTGCTGAATACTTAGTGACTTTGGCTTACAAACTCAGTGATAAGCCTACCGCATTCTTATTACATATCTCATGCTGGAAAAGCACACCTATTTTAGGATACTATTTAATCTTTGAAGCATGTAAAATATAAAAATGATGATACTCTTTGACCAAGCAAGTGCTGCTTCTGAAAAATTTTAATTCAAGAAGAAGAAAACCAGTAATTTGTGCAGATATTTTTACCGCATGTTATTTGTCAATGTAAAAAGCTTTCTAACACCACAAAACATCCAACAATTGGGAAATGGTTCGATAATTTTGTTAATTTGGATATTATACTATGTAATTATACTACTATTACTTTGTAACTGGAAGCTATTTTAAATTCAATATAGAAAAATATCCCAAATTCATTTTATTAAATTTTTATTTTACAATGTTTGTTCCTTTGATTTGACATCTTTCTTCTGTAGTGAGATGTCACTGTCAGGTCTTATAATTTACTTTTAACGAGCAAAACAGAACTCAGCCTTGAATCCTTCAACTGGGAGAACTATTTAGTCTTATTCAGTTTCATTACATAATGGACTCTATAAAGCTTATTAAATATTAAATACTAATTTAAAAACAAAAGTAAGCATGGCAATTAACTATGTAAACCATGTAACCATATAAAAGACTGATGGGAATAGCAAAAACATTGGATATGTACTTATCAAAATGTTAACAGTGATGATTGGTGGGAATATAGGTGATTATTTTCTCCCTAAAAGATTAAAATTTTAAAAAAATTATTATGTTTTTATAATGAGATGAAAATAAACATTTTATTTAAAGGGAGTTTGAATGTTCCTGGTAGCTAGGGCTGCCTTGTCATAGGGAGAATAGGTAATGATTAGATTTTGCCTCAAAGTCTGGATTTAAATAAGGATTAAACATATAACTTTATAAACTTACTCTCCTGGGTTATTTGTTTCATTAATAATTAAATTCAATCTTTGTTGTTTGCCTTTCATTATTATTACTTAATCACAATTATGATTCTATATGCTTAGAATAGAAAATTAGTTAAACAGTTTATGAGATGCTATCAGAAGCTTGAGGTGTAGTCGACTGAAACATTGGAAAGGTCTCCTGGCTAGCTCAGACCCATACTGAGGGTTAAACCAGGCTATGCTGAGGATCCCTCCAGGCTGGCTTTGGCAGGTACTGTGGTTGAAAGAACTAGGAAATGTGATGTGTCATAAATAATGCAGTAACTTATTTATGCAACTGGAAAAAATGAACATAGATCTTGGAGGTAGGAAAAGCTGATCTTCTTTGGATTTTACGTCTTTTCTAACATTTTGCTATTATTTTTTTTTTCTTTTTAAGCTTTATGCAATATCTTGAACACAAGCAAGATAGCCTTACAAAGGAATACTTCCTTACAAACCTCTAGGATGTAGGCAAGGAGAGAGGAGGGTGTCACACACATAGAAATGTACTTTGCTGTGGGCTTTCAGCCCTCATCAAAACATGCCAGCTATTCTTGGGCCTTGGACCAGATAGCACAAGCTGGTACTTGGTATGGAATTAGGTGCAATTTGCCTGAGCTACACGATCAAGGCTCCTTCATTTTTTTATAAATAAATAAATAAATATATATATTTATTTAGTTGCGGCGAGTGGGGGCTACTCTTCGTTGCGGTGCGCGGGCTTCTCATTGCGGTGGCTTCTCTTGTTGCACAGCACGGGCCCTAGGGGCGCGGTCTTCAGCAGTTGTGGCACGAGGGCTCTAGAGCTCAGGCTCAGTTGCGGCTCAGGGGCTTAGTTGCGGCTCAGGGCCTTAGTTGCTCCGCGGCATGTGGGATCTTCCCAGACCGGGGATTGAACCCATGACCCCTGCATTGGCAGGTGGATTCTTAACCACTGTGCTACCAGGGAAGTCCCAAGGCTCCTTTACTTTTATCAGCAGGTGGATCATAAGGGCAAACTTCAACGTGTGACTTGGTCATTAAAGGAAAATTGGACCCAAGCATTAGCCATTATTGAGAGGATGGAAAGGTACAGATGTCCAACTGCTGAAACACCCAATAAGTATCTTATCAAGGTCAGCAAGGGAGCCAATAACTCTCAGAGAAGTGGCTCTGGCTCAGGTGCTATCGTTTACAAAGGCTGAGCCCCTGTCTTCACCCTACACTCTGTATCCACTTATGCTGGTGCCTGAGCTTCATTATGGGAGGCCTATCAGAGTAACAGATGGCAGGGGTGAGTAGGCATACCTGAGCAGGCAAGGATTTTTTTTTTTTTTAAACATCTTTACTGGAGTATAATTGCTTTACAATGGTGTGTTAGTTTCTGCTTTATAACAAAGTGAATCAGCTCCTGGCAAGGATTTTAAGTTCCACTTAAAGGAAGAAATTTTAATATGGTCCTGAAATTTCTTTAAATAGGTTCATGTCTACATGAAGGGCTGACCCTGAAATTGGGAATGTGTCAGGATCAATGAGCTGCCTGGCTGGGCTTAGACTGCTAGTCAGATAGGAATTTACTGAGGGCATAGGAAATCTAATTCTTATTGAGAGATTTTGAGATTTGGACTGGGGGATTTGTTTCTCACCAAAAGAGCATGTAATATTCTTCACTGCCAAACTGGCTCATACGTCATCTCTTGAGCCAGCTGATGACTGCATTTTGTATGTTAGCCATGAAAACCCTTTTAGTTCAAACAGTTCCAATGAAACAGCTAGATCTATAGTTTTGTTTTCCCAGCACACTTTGTCATCCTTCTTCTTCTGGTTTCTACCTCCTGCCCTGCTTTCCCTTGGGGAATTTCTCCCCTTAAGTCAGGAGGTCTTAGGAGAGGTACTCAATTACAAGATGAGTACATGATCCAGTCCTAGCCAATCAGAATAAACCATCTCCTCAGGCATAGTGACTGGTTTAGCAAAAGTCATGTGACCCAAGCAGGACCAATCAAAATCTTTCCTGGGACTTTTCCACTGGGCTAAAATGGCAAACTGCTTTAAAAAATGTTCAAAATAAAGAATTTTAAACATATGCAACACTAGTGAGGATAATATATAGACCCCCTGTACTCAACACCCAGCTTCAACATTTATCAACTCATAGACAATCTTGAAAAAGAATAAACTGTCTTTTTACTGGGGCTGTTGGACCTAGGAGGATGGTGTTGCCAAAAGACATCATATCTGTCAGTGGAGACAGACTGACTTCAAAATATACCCAAACAGAAAATGAAATTGAGGCAAAACCATGAGGACCCCATTTGAGCTCCTTAATACAGCTGAGCCTGAAGCCATTGCCACTCCTGTACTTTATTTCTGCTTAAGCCAGATTTAGGAGGATTTCTGTCACTTGCAAAATGTATCGTCTGATATGAAAACCTTGAAGAAACACTCAGTAAGTAATTTAAAAATTTTTTTGTTTATTTTGGGAAATAGAATTTACGAAAAGTCTTTAGGAGGAATAAATGAGAAAGGGAACTTTATACATATTAAAAGAAGATCACCAGCATTTTAACTTCACTAGACTCAAAGGATAATTTCAGTCCCATTGAAATAACAGCCGTCTACTAAAAATTTTAAACTAAATAACATAAATATCATTAAGAGATATAACAAAGGGTGAATATTTTCACCCTTAAAAAAATCCTCACAAAGTAATCAAGTCCCTAGACCCATTCAGAGTGTCTGATTCTGTACTATCTTCAAAGCAATGCATGAATAGATACAATCACTCCTACATTAGCTGTCTGGTATACCATTCTTGGGTATGTAATGAACTATTTCTCCTGGCTGCTCCTTCACAATCCACTTTGTTTGGACAATACTTACACTTTTGCTTTGCTAGTTCTTGTATTAGGTCTTCATACACTTGTGAAAAGAGGTCCTCTTCAGATTTTGTTCCATCTAGGTAAACTGAGAAGGGAGAAAAGAGAGCAGTTTAAATGCTAACAGGCTTATTAATACAGGATGCTTACTCTGGCACTTGGCATCTCTTGAGAACACCAATAGGTTTAACCAAAGAACCCAGGAACATAACTTAAAAAGAAATTAATAGCCATTAAAGAGAGAAGTATATCACAGCCAGGTACAACGGGTAAGAAATTTTGATTTATTGCAGAGAAAATTCAAACTAGCTGATGTGAAAATTAAAAAAGGAAGAAACAGAGTTAAGTGGCACTGTGCATATGGCACTTTAGGAGCACTGAAGAGGTCCCTTCTCAAAACAATCATTTATGGCATTCCCTGGCAGTCCACTGGTTAGGATTCCAGGTTCAATCCTGGTCCGGGAACTAAGCTTCCACAAGCTGCACAGCATGGCAAAAAAAAAAAAAAAAAGAAAGAAAGAAAAAGAAACCACTTAAGGGAGTAGTTCTTGAGCTTACTTATACATCAGGATCACCTGTGAGGCTTCTTAAACCATGCAGGGGGGTCTGAGTTCACATGTGTACTGAATCTGAATTCTCCAGGCCCATGAAATATATATTTTTAACAAAACTGGCATAGTCAGTTTGGGATAAAAAGCAGAAGTTATGTAGGTTAAAGGAAAGAAAGGGCCTTCTAGTCAGAAAACTGCAGAGGTTAGGGAGGTAGGAGGAACTTTGCCTGTTAAGGAAAAGATGTTCAGTTTGGAAAGGCTAGAATGTGGGGAGGCAGGAACAGTATAGAGATGAGATTTTAGAGCTGTGCCTTAGTTTTTAGTGGCCTTGAGGTCTGGCTGTTTGGATTTTATACTGAAGGGCTGGAGACTCTTTGAAGGTATTTAAGCAAGGTAGGAGCATGGTTGGATTTGCATTTTAGATGGAGAGAGAGAGGGGTAGTAAGAAGACATCCCTGCAACCAATGGTCCATGTTGGGAGTGGTGTGGCCAGAATGTCACGAGAGGCTCTGTGGATGGGGAAGAGGGGTTGAACTGGACTGAAGAAGGGATCATAATAGCCGCCAGATCATGGGGAGGCCCTGTGTGCTTTCTGTAGCTACCAAAGAGGCCACGAGGCTTCTCACAATATGCGCAACTCCCTTTATTCTGAAAAGATACGTCAGTTTTGATTGCTCTACCCCATCCAAAACCCTTCTCTCTCCAGCCTCCTGCATCTTCTCCATGTGGTACTCTATATCCCAAGGATCCATTCTTGGCCCAGGCCCATAGATCCAGATATTTATTTCTAAATCACTGCTTTAAGTCCCTCAGGCATCTCAACTTCATTATGTGCAAAACAGACTCGCATTCCTCCTTGCAAATCTGCGACTCCTTCACTTTTTCCTATTTTCTGAAATAATGCCAGCCAATTCCTGAGCTGTTGTCCTTGCTACCTCAATTGCCCGCACCCTCCATGTCTATCCTATCACGCAGTTCTTCTGAGTACATATGTCCAATATTGCACCCTCTACATCTACCTTTCACATAGCCAGAGGGATCTTACTAAAACAAAAATTTTATATCTACCATATCCTTGTATAAAGCCTCTCTGTAGAGGGCTTCCCACTTTCCTTAGGATAATGACCTAAGTCCTTAACTGGTCTACGGTCTTGCAGGGTTTGGACCCTTCCTGTACCAGCAACATCACCTCTTGCCTTGGCTTTCTCTACCACAACCTTCCTTCTGGTGCCCCTTGGTCTTTTCATGCACCATACCCACCATCTGGGGTGACCTTCTATCTCCCCAAGTTACCTCCCTTTGTCCAGTTATATCTATCATCTCGTTTAAATATGGCTTCCTCAAGGAAGCCTTCCTGGATTGCTGAGACTTGGGCGGTCCCCCTGAAGCTCAGTGTCACAGTACTCAGCACAGCTAAAAAGGATAATCTTGTGCGTCATCCATTTAACAGCCATTTTCCTGATAGAATGCTGGTTCATAAGAGTAGAGACTGAGTCTGCCTTACTTCCCTTGATATCACCAGGGTAGTGCCTTGTACATGGAAGGCATTCAATCAATATTTGCTGAATGAATGACCATCTAGAAGTTGGCAAACTTTCACAAGAGCCATAGAGAAACAGAAGGCAGGAGAGCCAGTGTGGAAAAGGGGAAAAAAAGGCACTTACCGATTTCCCATGAGATGTTCTCCATTTCTTTTCTGTGCTTTAGATACATGGGCCACACGTGGCCCTCAAAGTACCCTGGGGTGTCTGGAGGCTCGTAGATCCTTGTACTATCAAAATACGTAGGAAACTTTACGTTGACATAAACACAATTGATAAAGTAAAATAATGGTCAGGACAACGGGGAAATCACTCAGAGACTGAGTCTAAACAGGATTACGACTACACTTTTTAGACTCAATGCCAGTTACAAAGACAACACCCAATGGATTTAGTCCCCTGATCTAAAAAATGAACTCTAATTCACTACCATTCATAATTATTTTCCCCCCTCTAGTGATTTATAAAAGAATTGAGAGACAAATGTTAATGTAAATAATGATAGAGATACTGATATGTTGTAGTAAGCTTTAAACTAATCGGTGTTCTCTGTGGCTGTAGCAGAATACAGGCCCCCTAATTTAAAACCATAATCAACATGGGATTGCTTCATATGAGGATTTAGGAAAGATAAGCCAAAGAGCTTGTACAAGAGCCTTTTCTTAGAAAAGTAATTTGCATTACTCCATGTGGGTGACCATTTATGGAAAAAGGTCTTGCTCTTTGTATGAAGAATTGAGGCTTCTCTTGCTTGAAAAACGACATATACACATTGCTCAATAATGCTGTTTCCTTGTTTTTCCTAAAGTTTGTCTTTTGAATTACAATCCACAAAGGCAATTTCAAAACTTACCTCCTCCTCCTCTTACATTCTTCATACGGAATGGTCAGAAAATAGCTTCTATTCCATATAGTGTCAAGGGGCCTAAATTAACAGCATATTTAGTGCACAAAGTTTTTTTTTCCCATTCACTCAGAGTCAATATTAGAGTGGGGAATGCTTACTTATAATTATAGAGAAGGAAGCCTTCGATAATTAAGATGGGAATTTCCTCAGCGTTTCCCCTGTCCCTTGATGCCAGAGGGTGTGCTGCGCTTTCCATCCAGCGGGAAATGGCGGACATCATCTCCTCCATGTTAAGTGCTTCAAGCACTTCAAACAAACACAAAAATATGAAATCAATACAACAAAAGTTTTACGCTGTGGCTTTTTATGATGAGTGCAGCCAGTGGTCTATAAATATATAAAATAACACTATTTTATTTACCCTTCAAACACCTAATTAGGGACTTTCCTGGTGGTCCAGTGGTTAAGAATCTGCCTTCCAATGCGGGGGACACGGGTTCGATCCCTGGTCTGGGAACTAAGATCCCACATGCTGCGGGGCAACTGAGTCTGAACGCTCTAGAGCCTGCACGCCACAACCAGAGAGCTCACGTGCCGCAACTACTGAGTCCACGTGCTCTAACTAGAGAGGAGCCCACATGCCACAACTAGAGGGCCCACGCACCACAATGCAGAGCCTGTGCACCGCAACTAAGAGCCTGTGCGCCGCAGCTAAGACTAAAAAAACACCAAATTAACAAATGTTTTAGACAAAAAATATAAACTCTAATATTGATAAAGTGGTATGCTTGATATAGTTTCATCCTGGAAAATTGTATTTATCTATTTATTTATTTGTGGCTGCATTGGGTCTTTGTTGCTGCACGTGGGCTTTCACTAGCTGCTGTGAGCAGGGACTACTCTGTTGTGGTGCGTGGGCGTCTCATCGCAGTGGCTTCTGTTGTTGCGGAGCACGGGCCCTAGGCGTGCAGGCTTCAGTAGTTGTGGCTCTTGGGCTCTAGAGCGCAGGCTCAGTAGTTGTGGCGCACAGGCTTAGTTGCTCCGCAGCATGTGGGATCTTCCCGGACCAGGGCTCAAACCTGCGTCCCCTGCATTGGCAGGCAGATTCTTAACCACTGCACCACCAGGAAACTCCTGGAAAATTTTAAACATATACAAAAGTAGAGCATAGAGTACAATGAGCTCCCATGTCCCCATTACCAGCTTTGACAATTATAGACTCATTGCTTTATTTATAACTTCTATTCTCCCTTGACTATATAAAAGTTTAACATTTTTGGATAACAAAATATTTATAAATTAGTTTGAAAGATATGACACACTGGTGAAAATACCTGCAACGTATTTGGCAAAGAATGGATATCTTTAATATATAAAGAGCTCTTACAGATAAATAAGAGGAGGAAAATCATTAAAAGAATTTACAAAGGATACAAGTATGTCACATTCAAATTCTAAAATGTGCATACTTTTAGAGTTTACAGTTGTTAATGCTAGAAAAGTACCCTATAACAGTGATTCCCAAAGCATGTTATCTACACTAGCAGCATCAGCATCATCTGAGAACTTATTAGGAATGCAAATTCTCAGCCCCACTCCAGAATGACTGAACTGAGCCATCTGTTCTTAAAGGTTTTTTAGTGGAAGGTTTTAAAATTATGAATTAATTCATTTAAAAGATATAGAGCTATTAAGATTTTCTCTTTTTTTCTGGTGTTTGTTTTGGTTAATTTGCATTTGGTAAGACTGTCAATTTCATTTAAGTTTTCAAATTTATTTGCATAAAATTCTTCATAATATCCTCATCTTTTTAATGTTTGTAGTATTTGTAGTGATATTAACCTTTTTGGTTTTGATATATGTAATTTGTGCCTTCTCTATTTTTTTTATTGATCAGTCTTATTTAATTTTTTTGAGGACCACTCAGATTCTTCAATCTGTAGGTTTATATCTTATGCCAAATTTGAGATGTTTTACATCATTACTTATTTGAATACTTTTTCAGCACCACTCCTCCTCTCCTTCTGAGCTTCCAATGATATAAATGTTAGATCTTTCATTATTGTCCCACATTTCTGCTCATTTTCTTTCTTTTTGCCTGCTTTGTGTCTTCATTGCTGCACGCAGGCTTTCTCTGGTTGCGGCAAGTGGGGGCTACTATTCATTGTGGTACACAGGATTCTTATTGTGGTAGCTTCTCTTGTTGCAGAGCACAGGCTCTAGGTGCATGGGCTTCAGTAGTTGCAGCATGCAGGCTCAGTAGTTGCAGCATGCAGGCCCTAGAGCACGTGAGCTTCAGTAGTTGTGGCACATGGGCTCAGTAGTTGCAGTGTGAGGGTTCTAGGGCATGTGGGCTTCAGTAGTTGTGACGTGTGGGCTCAACAGTTGTGGCTCGCAGGCTCTAGAGAGCAGGCTCAGTAGTTGTGGTGCACGGACTTAGCTGCTCCACGGCATGTGGGACCTTCCCGAACCAGGGATTGAACCCTTGTAACCTGCACTGGCAGGTGGATTCTTAACCAATGCACCACCAGGGAAGTCCCTCTGTTCATTTCTTTTCAGCCTACTTTCTCTTCCTTGTTCAGATTGAATAATTTCTATTGTTCTGTCTTGAAGTTCACTGATTCTTTCCTCTGTCATATTTATACTGCTGTTACACCCATCCAGTAAGTTTTAAAATTTCAATTATTGTATCAGTTTTCAGTTCTAAAATTTCTATTTGGTTCTTTTTCACATCTTCTCTTTCTGTGTTGAGGCTTTCTAATTTTTCACTTGATTCAAGAATGGTCACAGGGCTTCCCTGGTGGCGCAGTGGTTGAGAGTCCACCTGCTCATGCATGGGACACGGGTTCGTGACCTGGTCTGGGAAGATCCCACATGCCGCGGAGCGGCTGGGCCTGTGAGCCATGGCCGCTGAGCCTGCGCGTCCGGAGCCTGTGCTCCGCAACGGGAGAGGCCACAACAGTGAGAGGCCCGTGTACCAGAAAAAAAAAAAAAAAAAGAATGGTCACAAATGCTCACTGAAGCCTTTTTATGAATACTGCTTTAAAGTCCTTGTCAGAATTCCAGCATCTGTGTCATCACAGTGTTAGTGTCTAATTCTCTTTTCTCATTCAAGTTGAAAGTTGCCTGGTTCTTAATATGACAAATGATTTTTAGTCTCATCCTGGAAATTTTGGCTATCATGCTATGAGGCTCTGGATCCTATTTAATCTTTTTTTTTTGCAGGCAGTGTCCCTGTTTAGGTGTAGTGTGCAAGCCCAGGTGGGGTGGATGTTCAGCTGCCTGCTGGGCCTCACCAATACTGAGGTGGGGGGTGACTGTGGGGGGAAAAGAGGAAAGCACGTGGGTGTGGCTTCATTATAGCTCAGTGAGGATAGAAGTTCAGCTCTCAAGTGGGTCCTGCTGACAGTAGTTGACACTGCCTGGTTAAGGAAAGTGGAGTGCCAACTAGCACCACCTCACACTGCCTTATTCGGTCTCTTTGCTGCCAGGTAGGTGTGGAAGTTCAGCTCCGTTTGGCACCACTGATATGATCCCTATGACGATATGGAAAGCCAACTCACCATACCTTGCTGGTGCTGATGGGTCCAAAAGTCTAGCCCTCCACTAGGCCCTGCTAACACCATGAGGGGAAGTTGGTTTTTCCTTTTGTTTGCCTACAGTAAGGTGGATATTAACAAATTAATTTTCTATTCTGTTAGGCCACCCTTTTTCTAGTCCTTTGACTATACGGAACAGGTTTCTTGGGAATTTTGGGTTGTACCTATTGATGGTTCCATGTTGTACACTTCTCCATCACCAGTCACCCCCTTCCAGATATATGAGAGACAGACAAAAAACAAAAATCAAACAGGAAACTCACAGCTATGTCATTCCTCAAGATCCAAAGCCCCCAGTCAGTCTTCTCTCTTCATCTTTCAGAGTTTTTCCTTTTTGTTGTATTGCATCCGTGGTTTTTAGTTATAAGAGGGAGGAATAGCAAGGAATGGGGCCAAGCCATCTTGGCTGGAGCCAGAAGTACCATCAGTTTTAATGTATTTCCACTATCATTCAGTTAAAAATATTTCCTAATTTTCATTGTGATTTATTCTGTGACCCCTGGGATATACAGAAGTGTTTTGCTTCAGATCAAATGTGATGATGTCTGGAATTTGCTTCAAAATAATATAGAAGGAGCAGGAGGGTGAGGGTATGGATGAAATATAATTGGCCAAGAGTTTATCATTTTAAAAGCAGGATGGTGAATTCATGAGAGTTCATTATACTTTTCTGCCTTTCTTTGTATATGTTTAAAATTTTGCATAAGAAAAAGTTTTTAAGAATCAGAAAAAAGGTACTGATTAATTTTCAAACACTTGGGAATTTACTATTTACTCTTTTGCTATTGATTTCTAATTCAGTTCTCTGTGATTAGAAGATATCTCTATATTACTTCAATACCTTGAAATGTATTAGGACTTGTTCCATGTCCTTGTGTATGCCTTCCATTTTGGTTAATGTTCCATGCGTTCTTGAGGAAAAAAATGTGTGCTCTGCTGTTGTTGGGTACATGTTCTATATATGTTAGTTTGGTCAAGTTTGTTGTGTTGTTCAAATCTGTTAGACTCATAATTTTTGTCAGTTTGTTCCATAAGTTACTGAGAAAATTGTATTAAAGTCTCCCACAATACTTATAGATTTGTCTATTTGTCCTCTTAGTTTTGTCAGTTTTTGCTTAATGTATTTTGAGGTCATTATTATTAAGTGCATACAAATTTTAGATTTTTTATATTCCAGTTGAATTGATTCATTGAGCTCTCTTTATCTCTAGTACTACTCTTTGCCTTAAATTTTACTTTGTCTGATATTAGTACAGTTACACTAATTTTCTTTCAGTAGGTATTTGCATGGTATATCTTTTTCTAGCCTTTTACTATTTACTTTTCTATATCCTAATGTTTAAATATATCTCTTATAAGGAGCTTATAGTTGGCTTTTTAAAAAAATCCAGTCTGACAACTTTTGAGTATTTCATTTTAGTTAATTTAACTTAATATAGCTACTGATATGTTTGATTTAAGCTATCATTTTACTATCATCTTCTATTTTTCCACCATCCTTTGATATTTTAGTTCTGTTTTTTACCTCTTTTGCATTTATCAGTTATATTTTAATGATTCTACCTACTTATAAATGTGATAGCTATATACTTTATTACTATTGTTTTTATTTTAAAAAATATTTATTTCATTTATTTGCGGCAGGCGTGCTCCTTAGTTGCGGCAGGTGAGCTCCTTAGTTGTGGCGTGCAAACTCTTAGTTGAGGCATGCATGTGGGATCTAGTTCCCTGAGCAGGGAACGAACCCGGGCCCCCTGTGCTGGAAGTGCAGGGTCTTAACCACTGTGCCACCAGGGAAGTATTGATAGCTATATACTTTAAAACTATTGTTTTGGTAGTTATCACAAAGATTTCAACATTACCTTGACTTACCTTAAATTTGTACATTTACCTAAAAGTTCAGATTTCTCCTTAAGATAGATTCCTGGAAGTGGGACACCTGAACACATGGCATGAATATTTTACCATCTTTGGGACATGTGCTCAACCTCCTTTCCAGAAAAGGTTGTACCAATTTATATTCCCATCTATAAGTTTTTGTTTTATTTGGCCTATGCCATTACTAATTATTAATCTTTTAAAAATCTGTTGATTACGTAAGCGAGGAAAAAATAAGTTATAATTCTTTGACTACTTTTCTTTTTTCTTTTTCAAATTAAAAAAAAAATTTGGCCACACTGTGCAGTATGCGGGATCCTAGTTCCCCAACCAGGGATCGAACCCGGGCGCTGGCAGTGAAAGTGCCAAGTCCTAATCATAACCGCGGGCCTCTCACCGTTGTGGCCTCTCCCGCCGTGGAGCACAGGCTCCGGACGCGCAGGCTCAGCGGCCATGGCTCACAGGCCCAGCCGCTCCGCGGCACATGGGATCCTCCCGGACCGGGGCACGAACCCGTGTCTCCTGCATCGGCAGGCGGACTCTCAACCACTGCGCCACCAGGGAAGCCCCCCTTGACTACTTTTGAGGTTGACTTTTTATTGTACGTTTATTAATCATATAACCTTTTGCTTCTGTGAACAATTATTCACATCATTGGACATTTTTCAATTGGGATATTAGTGTTTTTCTTATCAGTTTGTAAGAACTTATTTAGATTAGGAGTAACTCTTCGTCAGTTGTTGAAAACCGTTTTTCCTTGTTTAACTCTTACTTTGTAATAATCTTCCTTAATAACCTTTAGAAAAGGGGGGAGAGAAGAAAAAACTATCCTGGCTGCAGCTCAAGACACAAGAATAGATACAGCCAGTCAAGGATTTTGCCTCTTTTAAAACTATCATGTTTCTGTAAGAACTGATTACACAACATTTTTCCTCCAAGGTTATCAAAGTTAAAAATAAAGAACAAATTTTATGGCTCTTTAAGAGAGCTCTCTCTATTGCTAGTTTGCATAAGCACTCAATGATCATCTTGTTAATTATAAATGTTGATAAGACCATTAAATATAGTTTACTAGTACAGCATTCCTTTGCAGGTCTATATAGATGTTTTTCTGATGGACTTTCCTCCGCTGGCTTCAAAGCAGTGTTAGACTGGGCAAGAGGGTAAAGTGAATCCATCTAAAAAATATTCACTATTCTTTTTGAGCAGTGAAAAGACTCAGTACCTTGGTCACTGAGAAAGTAAGCTCAGAAGATAGAGAGCCCTAAAGTTCGCTACAAGCAAGAGGAGTAGACTAACAGAGACCCACCTTATCCCACCTTCAAAAGAAAAATTTATTTTCCAATGTTTTCAGTTTTAATTATAAAAGTGGGGAAAAGGTTTCATTTATTTAAATAGCTGAACATAAATCAGAAACCCTTACAAAAGCATGCTTAAAGTACAGCAACATAATTTAAACTTATTTTGAGACTCTCTTCAGAGATAACAAAGTTATTTGGGTTTGAAAAAGGAAACAAACATTATTGCATAATGTTTTGTAAGCTCATCTACTTACTATCATACTGAAGAAATCCATTTTCATCTGTCTCTATCTCAGACTCTGGCTGGAAAAATAATAAAGTACCCATAAAAACTGTGCAGTGCAGAAATAATGCAATCATAGAATGAAGAGTTGATAAACCTTTATTTTAACAAATGCTTTGGATGGTGAGGATAAATAAAATTAGATTAGCTCCCATAAGTGTGCCATCTAGTGGAGAACTAACACTACTGCATTGAGCCTCCCTTCACTACAAAAGCACAATCACTCAGCAAATGCTTTTGGATGTAATTCAATTAACTTTGCTACTATGACTTCTTTTGGTTAAATAAATTATCTGAGAAGTTTTATAGATACCTTAAAGAAATTATCCTGAGATATGATACTGCAGTTTGGAAGGCGTTTCTGCAAATTCTTAGCCAGTGTTGTCTTCCCACCATTTGTCACACTGAACAACAACAAAAAAAGAAAACAAAGTAAGAAAATACCAAGAAGGAAGATGCATTAAAAGAACATAAAACATTTTAAAGTGATCTTAGAAAAAGGATATTTAAAACAATATGTAATATCTAAGAAAAAAATATTTCTTTCATAGATAGGACTTTGTTGGCAAAAATCATAGGCTCAAGCAGGTCTGATGCAACAAATGATAAGAAATAAGCTGGAAAGGATGGAGCAGAAAGGTAACTAATATTGGGCAAGTGAACTGCGTAATACTAAGACTTAATTACAGCTATTGCATTGGAAGCAAAATAATTTTTTGTCTATGCTGAAACATTCACAAGGTTCACATGCCACACAGAGAATATGAGTAGCACACTTTAGTGCAAGTATATAAAACTGCACGTGGTCACTGTGATTTTGTTTCAATGCACAGTGAAGAAAAATGGAGGAGTGGCTTATTACAAGCCCACCTATCATGACTTTTCACCTCCTTTGGAATGCCTCCTTTTCCCCAATCTCTCTCCACTTTGGCGCTGGTTGGGAGGTCCATTGTAGCTTATCACATCCTGTCAGTTACTTGTCCCCTCTGGCTGGACTGTGACATCAAGGAGAATGGCGACCCTGACCAACACCTCTGTGTATGTATCCAGTTTTCCAGTACCCAGAACCATGCATTGTTGGGGGGGAAGCACTTCTCCACTCAGTCACTCAGAGAGTTTTTTTTTTAAAACCTGGGGCTTATGTACTTCCAAAGAGTCTATGGACAGATTCAGGATCTTTGTGAACTTGAAAGATATTATATCTTTATTTTCAATAAATTCTAACAGAATTTTGGCATTTCCTTTAATTAAAATATAAGTCACAAGCAACAGTATTATTAATAGTACCTGTGGCTTTTTCACCAACAGAAATCACAGACAGGTATTTTCATATCATGTTGCACTTGGGGCAGACATCTTGAAGTATCATTGACACTCTATTACTTGAAATTTACAGCAGCTTTTAGACTCACCACAGGACACAGTTATTTAGTGAGTTAACAAAGAAGCATGTGTATCATAATGCTACAAATTTTCTTTTAAAAATATTTTTATAACTATATTATCATAACTGGTTTCCTCTGTATTTCTGTATTTTATTTTGTGCATTTAAAACCACTACTCGGAGGAAGCAAGACTTCATCATACCACCAAATGTCTATAGCACAAAAAACTTCTGACTGCACATGAATTGTGCTTATTCCGAGGTAAGATGAATTGCAGTATGTTTATAATCTAGAAAGGGGAAAGGAACTAATACTTATTCATCAAAATTGTTTATTGGATATAATTCAATTATTAGCCAAATATCTTACACCTACAAAGTATTAACAGAAGAAACTTGATTCACACTTTTTTTGTTTTTTCTGTTTAACCTTAGATCACACAATTGGGTAGGATATGGGCAATCTCTTTAAAAATGGAAAAGTGGGTGGGTATTACCCTATGCATTGAGAAAATACTGTTATGAGAAATTTTTTCCCCCTTTACCGAAAATGTCTGTAATCCATGTTGAATGCCCATAGTTCGATTATTGAATTTTGGTTTAAAATACATAGTAAACAGGGATAACTTTATTACAGTATGAGCAACCTGGCTAGAAAATGTATCATTTTCTAGACTCACCTCTTTAGTTAAGATCATGCAATTGAACCAACAGTAATTAGATCCCTTCTCACTGACTTAGTTAGAGCCAATGAGAAATAAGCACCCCATTTTTGTAGACCTGGTAGAGAAGGACCAGCTAGAAGGCAGTCCAGGTCAGAAAGATGAGGGAGGGGGAAAAGTAAAAGCTGTATTCTCATAAAACTTGCTCAAGGTAACGACTAGCAAGTAATGGAGATGAGATACAAAGTCCAACTCTAACACCCATGGAGTTTACATTTCTTAACATTAAGGAAGGAACTTTGTGAGAATGATGAAAGTTGTAAAATCTTTCCCCAGAAAAATGAACATCTTCACACATGCATTAAGTTTTCAGGAGGTTCATGGATGCCACTTGAATCCTCTAGAACCTTTACTATTCCTTGCAGTCTCAACTGAATATTTAGTTCATAGGGCAGCAAGTGGTAAGTACATGAGAGAGATACAGCACAGTGAGTTTGGAGGAAGGAAGGCAGGAACTGCAGCTGAGTCTGGCAGGGGCTTTGCAGAAGCAGCAGCACTAAAATGAAATCCTGGCACTTGCTGAGGAAGAGACAGTGAAGAGAGGCTTTCTTAGGAAGTTATGCATAGAACCAAATGCGCGTGGCACGAAAGCATGACACAGGTTTCTAGATAGAGGGCATTATACTGGAATATTGAGAGGAGGAGAATTTATTCACACACGTGCAGAAGAGAAGTCGGATTGGATTCTGTAGTGGACCTGGTAGTGGCCTCCCCAGGTTCCACCCCAGTTTCCAAGGTCTGGTTGGGATTGACCCCGCTCTCAACTCCAGAGCAAGGGCCCCAATGGCCTAAACCAATCAAGGCAATCCCCTCGCTTTTGCCACAGTAACTGTGGCTATGTGACCCAGGTGGTCCTGTCAAAGACCCTTGACCTAAGGGAAGCAAAGCACTTTTTTCCCCCTAGTGACAGGCTAAGGAGAAGCATGAGGTCCCAGGAGCTGCTAGTAGTCCCTTGCGACCAAAAAATGCAGCCAACTTTAGGATGAATCCAAAAGGAGGAAGACACAGAGAAGAGGCAGAGAGAAACGGAGTCTTTGGTGACACCACTAAGCTCCTGTATCAAATCTTTCCTGTACCCTGCCTATCTGCCCACCCCGAAGCTAGTCCATTTTATTATTTTTGGATGGTCCTCATATATCAGGAAATTTAGACTGCATTTTAAATAACTGGGAACCACCAAATATTGTTCATCAGGTGAGAGAAAATTTAAAAATTCTGTATGAAGATGAAACTGGCAGAGGTATGCAGGGAAAATTAAGAGGAGGAGATTGGAATTAGGGAATGAGGGCTTGAATTAGGATGGTGGCAGTGAGTGTGGAAAGGAAAGGAGGGATGAGAAGCAATGCAGAGAAAAACTGAACTTGGTTCTGATTAGATGAGAGCAAGTCAAGGCAGAGTTCTGGCATTTAATTCATTCAATGTTACTTCTAATTGATTAATTAGAAGTAATTAATCTAATTAATTAGATTAATTAATTGTAGTTATGTAATGCAATAATACATTGATTTCCCCCAAATTATAAACCTTTAATTTCAATAGTCTTAAATATTTTATTAACTAGACTACACATAATGTGAAAGGACTCAGAAGAAAGATGAACATAATACACTAGCAAAACAAATAAACAAATAATGTCATTTTAAGTTGCTGTTGTCTTATTTGATTGCCCACTTCTTGGTACCATGGGTAGGGTGACCATAAAATTTAGGACACTTCTGAGAGGGAGAGGGGTGAATGATTAATAATCATGCCAGGGAAATAAGGACTACCTCAAGATGAAAAGTATGGGGAAAAGGGGTAGAGGTGAGGTGATTCCTTATTCCACATGTCCAAAGCTGGGCATAACTGGCAAGAAATGATAGATTTTCTCCTATGTCACACTGGAGAAGCAGCCATATGGAGAACGATAAATCACCCTGAACCAACGTAGCATTAGATCAGGCCTTGCCTCTGGTGTCAGCTTTAGAAAACAAACAGTAAAGCAGGTAAACTTTGTGTACCGACTCCCCTGTTTCTGTTTACAGGAAACTCTCCCATCTCCTGTTGGCATTTACATAGCCAGTGCTCCACCGTTTTAAATTCAAGTGTCCTGTTCTCTTTTCTGGGACTCAGGAATCCTTCTCACTGCTTCTCCTTCCCCCACCACATCCACATGGAAACACCCTTTGGACATCCTGAGTATCTCAATCAGCTGTCTGTAGCAAAATTACTCACCCACCGATTCCAATGACAAATGTTTTCATAATTAGCTTTGAAAATCACGTCTTCCTAAAATTAAAAAAAAAAAAAAATTGAAAGCACATCACTTAGGTGTCTAAAGAGATAAGAGTCCTAACTTACAAGGGCCAGCTGAGGGGGAAAGATGTCAGTGATCTTTGGGTTACCCCCCTAGGATTACCCACATTCTGTGGGAAAGTTTCACACTATACTGGCTTCTCTCTGCCACAGTCTCCTGCTATGTGCCAACAGCTGGAAGTGCTCAGGGCCTGTAAGCAAGTCAAGTGAACTAAAGGGGCCCCCATGGCCAAGCATACATCCTTGAGGGTCTGTTTTCAAGGGCATGGAAGAGTTGCTGAGCCACAAGGCACACTAGAGTTTCATGCTCCCCTCAGGCAGGTGGCCTGTCACCTGCATGACTCAGTCACCCAGGGATGACCCATTACCCCCAAGGCAGAGAAGTGGCAGAGATGGCCTCTCTCTCCTTCTGAAATGAGGAGACAGTCACTGCTGGCCAGAGGCAAGAGGAAGTGAATTCCCTTTAAGTATGCTATTTCCTCACCCTAGGGCCAGGGTAGACAAGCTTTCAAAAATGAGCCAGTTAGTAAATCTTTGAGGCTTTACGGGCCAAGAGACAAAATCAAGATTATTATGTAGGTACTTATATAATAAGAGAGAAAACATTTCCACAAACTTTCTGATGGAGGTCAAAACATAATAATTGAGTACAATTTTTTTTTTCCCGTAATTCATGTCTACAAATGAAAATAGAATTCCTTTTCTATTGGGATAACATTTCCCTTATTGGATATCAGAGTGAGTGTCTCCTATTACAAAAGGGACTGCAGGTGTTCAGGCAGAAGGCCAGGTTTTATTTTTTTAATTTTTTTATTGAAAAAAATTTCTTTTAATAATTTATTTATTATTTGGTTGCACCAGGTCTTAGTTGTGGAATGCGGGCTTCTTAGTTGCGGCATGCATGTGAGATCTAGTTGCCTGACCAGGGAATGAACTCAGGCCCACTGCATTGGCAGTTCAGAGTCTTTTTTTTTTTTTTTTTTAACATCTTTATTGGAATATAATTGCTTTATAATGGTGTGTTAGTTTCTGCTTTATAACAAAGTGAATCAGCTTTACATATACATATATCTCCATATCTCCTCCCTCTTCCATCTCCCTCCCACCCTCCCTATCCCACCCCTCTAGGTGGTCACAAAGCACCAAGCTGACCTCCCTGTGCTACGCAGCTGCTTCCCACTAGCTATCTGTTTTACATTTGGTAGTGTATATGTCCATGCCACTCTCTCACTTCATCCCAGCTTACCCTTCCTCCTCCCCGTGTCCTCAAGTTCATTCTCTATGTCTGCGTCTTTATTCCTGTCCTGCCCACAGCTTCTTCAGAACCATTTTTTTTTAAGATTCCATTTATATGTGTTAGCATACAGTATTTGTTTTTCTCTTTCTGACTTACTTCACTCTGTATGACAGAATCTAGGTCCATCTACTTCACTACAAATAACTTAATTTCGTTTCTTTTTATGGCTGAGTAATATTCCATTGTATATATGTGTCACATCTTCTTTATCCATTCATCTGTCGATGGACACTTAGGTTGCTTCCATGTCCTGGCTATTGTAAATAGAGCTGCAATGAACATTGTGGTACATGACTCTTTTTGAATGATGGTTTTCTCAGGGTATATGCCCAGTAGTGGGATTGCTGGGTCGTATGGTATAGTTCTATTTTTAGTTTTTAAGGAACCTCCATACTGTGGCTGTGTCAATTTACATTCCCATCAACAGTGCAGGAGGGTTCCCTTTTCTCCACACCCTCTCCAGCATTTATTGTTTGTAGATTTTATTTATTTATTTTTTGGCTGCGTTGGGTCTTTGTTGCTGTGCGTGGGCGTTCTCTAGTTGCGACTAGGTGGGCTACTCTTTGTTGTGGTGTGCAGGCTTCTCTTGTTGCAGAGTACAGGCTCTAGGCGCGCGGGCTCAGTAGTTCTGGCACACGGCCTTAGTTGCAGCATGTGGGATCTTCCCAGAGGAGGGCTCGAACCCATGTCCCCTGCGTTGGCAGGTGGATTCTAGCAGTTGAATTCTTAACCACTGCGCCACCAGGGAAGCCCCTGTTTGTAGATTTTTTGATGATGGCCATTCTAACTGGTGTGAGGTGATATCTCGTTGTAGTTTTGATTTGCATTTCTATAATGATTAGTGATGTTGAGCATCCTTTCATGTGTTTGTTGGCAATTTGCGTATCTTCTTTGGAGAAATGTCTGTTTAGGTCTTCTGCCCACTTTTGGATTGGGTTGCATGTTTATCTGATAATGAGCTGCATGAGCTGCTTGTAAATTTTGGAGATTAATCCTTTGTCAGTTGCTTCATTTGCAAATATTTTCTCCCATTCTGAGAGTTGTCGTTTCATCTTGTTTACAGTTTCCTTTGCTGTGCAAAAGCTTTTAAGTTTCATTAGGTCCCATTTGTTTATTTTTGTTTTTATTTCCATTTCTCTAGGAGGTGGGTCAAAAAGGATCTTGCTGTGATTTATATCATAGAGGGATCTGCCTATGTTTTCCTCTAAGAGTTTTATAGTGTCTGGCCTTACATTTAGGTTTTTAATCCATTTTGAGTTTATTTTTGTGTATGGTGTTAGGGAGCATTCTAGCTTCATTTTTTTACATGTAGCTGTCCAGTTTTCCCAGCACCACTTACTGAAGAGGGTATCTTTTCTCCATTGTATATTCTTGCCTCCTTTATCAAAGATAAGGTGACTATATGTGCGTGGGTTTATCTCTGGGCTTTCTATCCTGTTCCATTGATCTATATTTCTGTTTTTGTGCCAGTACCATACTGTCTTGATTACTGTAGCTCTGTAGTATAGTCCGAGGTCTGGGAGTCTGATTCCTCCAGCTCCATTTTTCTTTCTCAAGATTGCTTTGGCTATTTGGGGTCTTTTGTGTTTCCATACAAATTGTGAAATTTTTTGTTCAAGTTCTGCGAAAAATGCCAGTGGTAGTTTGATAGGGATTTCACTGAACCAGCAGATTGCTGTGGGTAGTATAGTCATTTTCACAATATTGATTCTTCCAATCCAAGAATATGGTATATCTCCCCATCTGCTTGTATCATCTTTAATTACTTTCATCAGTGTCTTATTGTTTTCTGTATACAGGTCTTTTGTCTCCTTAGGTAGGTTTATTCCTAGGTATTTTATTCTTTTTGTTGCAATGGTAAATGGGAGTGTTTCCTTAATTTCTCTTTCAGATTCTTCATCATTAGTATATAGGAATACAAGAGATTTCTGCGCAGGGCTTCCCTGGTGGCGCAGTGGTTGAGAGTCCGTCTGCCAATGCAGGGGACACGGGTTCGTGTCCCGGTCCAGGAAGATCCCACATGCCGCGGAGCAGATAGGCCCGTAAGCCATGGCCGCTAGGCCTGCGTGTCCAGAGCTTGTGCTCTGCAACGGTAGAGGCCACATCAGTGAGAGGCCTGCATACCACAAAAAAAAAAAAAAAAAAAAAAAAAGGAGATTTCTGTGCAATAATTTTGTATCCTGCTACTTTACCAGATTCGTTGATTAGCTCTAGTAGTTTTCCGGTAGCATCTTTAGGATTCTCTATGTATAGTATCATGTCATCTGCAAACAGTGACAGCTTTACTTCTTCTTTTCTGATTTGGATTCCTTTTATTTCTTTTTCTTCTCTGATTGCTGTGGCTAAAACTTCCAAAATTATGTTGAATAATAGTGGTGAGAGGGGGCAACCTTGTCTTGCTCTTGATCGTAGTGGAAATGGTTTCAGTTTTTCACCACTGAGGACGATGTTGGCTGTGGGTTTGTCATATATGGCTTTTATTATGTTGAAGTAAGTTCCCTCTATGCCTACTTTTTAGAGGGTTTTTATCATAAATCGGTGTTGAATTTTGTCAAAAGCTTTTTCTGCACCTATTGAGATGATCATATGGTTTTTATTCCTCAGTTTGTTAATATGGTTTATCACATTGATTGATTTGCATATACTGAAGAATCCTTGCATTCCTGGGATGGACCTCACTTGATCATGGTGTATGATCCTTTTAATGTGCTGTTGGATTCTGTTTGCTAGTATTTTGTTGAGGATTTTGGGATCTATGTTCATCAGTGATATTGGCCTGTAGTTTTCTTTCTTTGTGACATCTTTGTCTGGTGTTGGTATCAGGGTGATGGTGGCCTTGTAGAATGAGTTTGGCAGTGATCCTCCTTCTGGGATATTTTGGAAGAGTTTGAGAAGGATAGGTGTTGGCTCTTCTCTAAATGTTTGACAGAATCTGCCTGTTAAGCCATCTGGTCCTAGGCTTTTGTTTGCTGGAAGATTTTTAATCACAGTCTCAATTTCAGTGCTTGTGATTGGTCTGTTTATATTTTCTATTTCTTCCTGGTTCACTGTTGGAAGGTTGTGCTTTTCTAAGAATTTGTCCATTTCTTACAGGTTGTCCATTTTATTGGCATAGAGTTGCTTGTCGTAATCTCTCATGATCCTTTGTATTTCTGCAGTGTCAGTTGCTACTTCTCCTTTTTCATTTCTAATTCTATTGATTTGAGTCTTCTCCCTTTTCTTCTTGATGAGTCTGGCTAATGGTTTATCAGTTTTGCTTATCATCTCAAAGAATCATCTTTTAGTTTTATTGATCTTTGCTATTGTTTCCTTCATTTCTTTTTCATTTATTTCTGATCTGATCTTTATGATTCCTTTCCTTCTGCTAACTTTGGGGTTTTTTGTTCTTCTTTCTCTAACTGCTTTAGGTGTAAGGTTATGTTGTTTATTTGAGATGTTCCTTGCTTGTTGAGGTAGGATTGTATTGCTCTAAACTTCCCTCTTAGTAGTGCTTTTGCTGTATCCCATCGGTTTTGGGTCATCGTGTTTTCATTGTCATTTGTTTCTAGGTATTTTTTGATTTCCTCTTTGATTTCTTCAGTGATCTCTTGGTTATTTACTAGTGTATTGTTTAGCCTCCATGTGTTTGTATTTTTTACAGATTTTTTCCTGTAATTGATATCTAGTCTCATAGCGT